TGGATACCGATATTACAGGTACGACATGAGCGCTGATAGGCTGAGGCGTGGCCGGATTGGTGGTGGTGTGAGTGTGTGAGGTACTGTACCGTGCTAGAGCGGAGGAGCTAATTCGTCAACACCTCGTATCAACCAAATTACTATGGATACGCCCTTTGGAAAACACAAGATCGTTAAGTGTTCACGGAATTTTCTCTCTTTACGACCAATAGGTTTAGCTGCATATTAGAAATCATCATTCATCGGGATTTTTCACGGACAAATCCTGGTATTTCGTAGTATGATAGTAAATCAAGGCTTAATGGTTCGGGTGAGACGCGAGTTGCCGACCCAGGAAACGAGCAAGGGCCCCGTGCAGGGACAGATGCTCCCGAGAGGGCGTCCGCCGGATACCTTGGTGGACCTCCGAGATGCCTTTCGTTTCTCCCTGCGTGAAAATGACGCAGATATGGTTGGCTTACTGTTTCTTTACATTTCGGATCCCGGGGGCCACTGAGATGCTTCTACGAATAGATCTTTAATTGAGAAGCCCTATTCTCCTCTCCGCCAATCAACGAAATAGAATGTTTTTTGTTTCCAGAAGCAACTATCTAGTGAGCACCTAGACTGGATTACCGCCAAGTTGAATTCGGGGCATTGGGTATTATCGTGGAGGGTAATTGTCTTGATGCATTTATCACGGGTGGTTTCACCGTGCGGAACGCCTTCAGGATTTTGCTCGCGAATACCCTTCAACAGCATATTGTTTGGCTGTCTGGAGGGCTGGGGGGCGGGGGTGGTGTTGGATGAACTCGTTATGGGACTCTTTACAGATGGAAACCAGGGTATTCCCGACAGGGGCGAACAAGTCTTGTGTTACCTAACCAAATACCCTTACACCCGAGTACAGTACTGGACTCGAGTACTAGTACAGTACATTAGCCAATCTTACTTGTCTACTGTCGACCGTCGCCAATTCGATCCAGGATGCCGCCAAGATGGGCAACACCATCCAAATTAGCTTTGCACCGTCCCCCTCCCCCTTTTTTGGCGACCGCACCAGTGGTGATTGCTACAGCGACGACTACAGTACCCAAGTGCAAGTATCCTCTCGGTTTGCCATTCCTCCTGCCTATGCAACAGAGTACTCGTACACCTTGAGCCCAGCGCATATTGCCATCCCGATGCGAGATTCTGCAAGGATGCCTGCAGGTGCTGCCGGAGTACTTGATGTCGACATCCTGCACCCTCTATGAGTTTCGCCAGTGCTACAAATATAAGTAAGCGGTACTTGTATCGTATATCCTGGGCCGACATGACATTAAAAAGCCAGCGGCCCCCCTGTCAATGTTGGGACACTGGTGAATAATTGAATATTGTCAAACTACCAAAGTTCCCCAGATGTGCTCGAGTAGACTTCTGACCATAAATGATTCTATATCGCCATACCCACACTGATCGCGAGCGATCGCTTGTTATCATGAAAAACAGGCCCCAATTTTTTAAATACCGTGATATCATGACAGGGGCGAAGTGTTACCCTGATGGGGCTCGGGTTTCGAAAATAGCCTGCAACTTTCCTCCGCCAAGACATCAGTTATGGCAGGCAAAAGCGCTGTTTTTGAACAACATGGCTGTGCCAAGCACCCGTTTTTGCGTCTGGGAGAAAAAAATTAACCCTCGCCCAAAAATTTATGATTTTTCTAGCATGCAGCATTGATGTATTCGGAATCCTGTAGAATGATTATTCCAATGGCGGGCAGATCGCTGTGCAGAAGAGGTCAAAGTTTCGAAACTTCAGCTCTGTACTCGAGTAAAGGTATAAGTTATCCTGGTATTATAAACTTAGATCCCTATTTTCGTGTTACGAGCAAAAGCATAATAAACGATCGCCCGGCTATCGCGGAGGAACCCCGGGTTGAGGGCCAAGCACCCCCTCGTCAGCCCTACCCCAGAAACTGACAGCCGCCGGAAGTGGCAAGAAGAAAGTAACAGACACCCTGAGTGTCGTTTCGGAGCTGAGTCTTTTTTTTTCATTCTGGACGAGACATGTCTCAATACAGAAATACGGGCGCCCAATGTCTCCAGCCCGGGGCACCCCTGATTGGGTTACCCCGCACTCCGGAGAGTGTGGAGTGGGGCAAGCTTCCAACAAGTCTGGATTGGGCAGATTCTTATTGGGGCCTGGGAAATTTGAACCATTGATGGAACAGTGCAACTCTTCAGGTCATCATCTATGTCTAGTATGGTGGTTGGTGGCGGGTGGTGACTTTGCAGACTTTCCCCGAAACCCTGCAGGACCCCAGTCTAGTCTGCGCGGGGGGCTTTATCGGGGATGTGCACACATGCGAGATGGTACAAACTGATGGGGCCGAAGAAACTAATTCTGCACGGCGGGGAAGAGTTTCGCGGAGGGGTCTTCGGGGGAGTACGTGCGATCCCCCAACAGTCATACTCGGCATCTTTCGGGTGCCGCTTTTGATTCCATATCAACGGTTCCTTCTATATTATTCCCAGCCCAATCAAGTGGTCAAATACTCGCTGCTGGGCGGAATGCGACGCGGGCAGGGGCTCGGACTTCCGATAAGGCGTTCGTTGCTTCCCCATACATTTTTAAATCGGGCACGGCATGCCATTCATTGGCTACACCCTTTTCACCGGTGGTGTGCCCTCCTTTACACCCCAGTAGGTTTGCAAAAGCAAAAGATACTTACAAGTAACATAGATGTTCTCTTTACCAGGTTGAAGTCAACAGCTTCTTCATCGCCCAAGAGGTTATTTCTTTTATAGAAGTTGTTGTTTGCAAGTCGTTATATTTGGACTTTGCCCCCGGGCACGGGTATATTTCTTAGTGCTCTGGCTCTAGAGAATCCCCGCGAGCTATCTTAGCGAGGCTTGATTTGGTTTACGCACACCCGCGAGCCTGTGCTCGGATTTGGCTCTCCCGGGTGGTTGTTTAGCTCTCTTCTGACTCCAGTTGCCCCTCTTCCTTTTGACAGCCGCAGTTGCCGGGGCGGGGCCGTCAAATCTTTTAATCTGGGTAGCCTGAACAGTGGGTTTCCCAGCGCGACTGATTGTACCACATACAAAAGAATGGAACTCTCGAACTAACTGCTAACATCTTGCTGGTAAGAGCTCAGAAGCTGTCTATATTTCCAACCCTCAAATTCCTCTTCCGTACTCAGTAAAGATGGCGAACCCGGGCACAAACCCTGCTTCTCTACAGGATCCGGCCCTCCAACCCCCTACTAGTTGGGAACCCTTTGGTGAACACCCGGACTTTTATGATGACCTGGATTGCCTACACCCAAGCCACAAGCTCACGAACGAAAAGCTAAAGAACAGAAAAGAGGACGATGTGGTTATTTTTGACTATTCTTTATTCCCAGCCTACCTGAGTGAGGGCGGCCCACCCCCTGTGGACTCTAATGAAGACAATGATGTGCTCTTCAAAGTGTCCAAGGACAGCCTCATGGAGTCCGACCAATTTGACCAAATAGTTAACCCTACCAGAAAATCTCGGCAAGGGTTGAGTATCATGTAAGTTTATCTTCCAAGGCTCTGCTCTCTCGCTACCAATAGGCGCTGGAGCAATGAGTCGTTTGGTACACGTGGGGCGCTTGTATGGAGTCGACTTTATCTTCTACATGCTAATGTTTGAGGGGGCTTTCGCTCTTTCAGTGACTTCCCTCAATGTTATGATACAAGCGTAAGTTTCCGTGTGGCGCAAACGCACTCCTACGTTTAACAGCAGTTTCTTACTAGGAATAGGATGGCGCTCTACTGGACTCAATGGCATATAGACTTCGCCTTCCGAGCGAAGCCAAGACTTGTTTCTGGGTCTCACATAAAAGAAGAGTTCGGGCGCTGCCTGGTTATGGAAATTTTAGAACAGGTATTTCATTCCGGGTACCTTTCAATAAACCATCGGACTTGGACAAGTCACATTCGTCAGAAGATAGATTCACCCTTTTCGTATCTTTTCCGTATTTGGGGAACTCTGGCACCGGGTTTCGATCTGGGTTTAGAAGCGAGAGCGCGAGGCTCTTAGATTTCAAGGGTCTGGGAGTTACTGTCCCCGACCACGGAGGGATGGAGAGTGAGGAGGAGAGGGACGATATAGGGGAGATATTTGTGCACCAGGCACGATATATGATATTCGATAACTGTAAGCTATACTTTTTTGCCCACTGCTAACACAAGCATCTTTACTAAGTGATTTCCGAAGATACAATGGCGAAATTCAGATCTAAGGAGGATGGTGCCAAAGATCAAGTCCCTCTTCACCGGTTCCAGGAGCGTATCTGCGCCTTTCACGCAATGATTCATATGATTGCCAACCGCATGGATTTGGAATTATGGACAATGGAGAAGCTTCAAGCTTCTTTGTGCAAACTGGTTAGTCAATTCTCTCCCCTGGCCAAGGGGATGTGGCAATAATCTTTGAGGGCCACCAGGACCAAATTATATCAGATTCCAACTCCTATGGGAACGATCAAGAGATGAATGACATCCCAAATATTCGCTCGGTGGGGCCGGTGTTACCTCCGGGAATGGCTCTTCCGGAGGCGAAACCGAGACCGAATGTGGATCATGAGCGAGCCCAACAGAAGAGTGCAAACAGGGAACAGAAGAGAGTCCGAGACCTCATCTTCTTTAACAGACTTTTGGCAGGTTTGTTCGCTGCTATCAGCGTTGCCGAACGACAGATTGCCGTTCTCCAGGACCTGCACAACGTGTTTTGGACGAGTTACAGAACTAAAAACGGAGGCCACGAGGGGAGATATCCACTCCGGCAGAATGCCTTCTACAAGAATGTTGCCCTGATCCCTGCCCCCCCACAAAATGCGGGACAGGAGTGGCCGGATACCTTAGATATTATCGACGAGATGATTCGAGAGAGGAAATCCGTCATCGAGAATATTAAGGGGTTGATAGAAAATATGGATATCAAAAGAAAGATTGTATAACTCTCGTCTAAAATTATATTACCGATGCTAACAGCTCGACAGCTTATTGATATGAGCACGAAGGGCACACTTGAGCAGCAAGCACAGACTTTATCTGGCTTCACTGTCGTCACTACAGCTTTTCTCCCTCTGAGCTTTTGCACTTCGGTATGTTGTCCCCCGCTCAACATATGAGTACTTTCTGAGAAGAAAAACCCAATCAGTATTTCGGCATGAACAACATAAAGGAGTTCAACGCGAGCCCCATATCCCGGCGCGATTTCTGGATGGTTACGGGCCCGGTATGTGGTGGGATAATACTACTAACAGTAGTAATCATCTTCTGGGAACGTCTGGTTGGGAGGAGATTCAGAGCGTATGCCAGTCAGAAATTATCCCCCAAGTGGAAAATAGATGGTATCGAGAGCCAGATTCGTGGATCTAGGCACTCGAAGGATGCACCCCCGACATCCGCCCAAGAGGGCGATGGCCCAGACCGTGTTCCCAGTTATTACAGCACCACGCACACCATAAGAGGCGTCGTCAGACGCTACTCTACTATGAAAGAGGCGGCAGTGGCAGTATTACGATTCGAAAATGGAAGGGCTGAGGATCCTGAGAGGTGAGCATGGAGCCCGGTCACTGAGCTCTGTCTGCGCCGTAGAGGTAGCGGAAATATGACTATTGAAGGATACGAACTCTTGAGGAAGGAGATCCGTTTCTTCGATGCGTGTTCTCATACCACGGGGATAAAGATTCTTTGATGGGATGGGGGGAGATGGCTCATTGGACGGTAACATTTGTTACTTGTTGGGTGGATATGCGTGTGTATGTTATCAAGGATATTAAGGAGGGCCAACTTTTGTATAATTACATGATAGAAAGTATGCTGGTACTAGTAGTCTTAGCGGATGTGTGGGTGGATGATAGGAGAAAAGGTTTTATACTACTAGCTGCTCTAGTAAGAATAAGGCGCTGCTTGGCACAAAGTCATTTGAGATGACGGTTATCTCAAAATGTGGTTAGCTATGCGCATTTATGAACAATAGAAAAACACCAAGTATTCAACTAAACACTCTCATTTCTCACATTAAAGGTAGCAGGTACTATTATGTAATATAACATGCGGGTAATTGCTATTAATCTAAACATAGGTTTTGAAATTTTACCAAAGCATGTCTTCAAAGTGACATTAATTTACGAAAAACACCACTGTCATCTCAAATGACGGTATGTCAAACGGTCCCTGAGTTTCTCTGTTCCGGTAGTACCTAACCTACAGGGTATTAACGATTCCCACACCGCACCGGCATATACCCTGTTCTCGGTCGGGGTTGATCCAGAGTGAGGTGTAGTGATCGTTCATTGAGCACAGAGACAGGTCTTCGCTGTCGGCTATGAATTCAGGGCTTAATAAAAAAACCAAGCCAAGCGCTACGATTTATTCTGAATAACAGAGAGGGGAGAGGAGAGGGACGGCCTGGCAATCAAAAAAGTCATCAAAAGAGAAAAGAATCTTAACTATTGAAGATTCCCAGCTCTCACTTCTGCCGAAACTTCTATCAGGGCGCTAAGCACGTACGCCCCCGCAACGAAGAATTACTTTCGAAAAATAAAGTCCTCTGTAATTCACAGAATGGTTCCGGGACACCTCGAGCTCGAGAACCCGTGTCCCGCGCACCAGCGGGCTTTGCGAAAACCTACACGAGTGAGAGTTCGTATACCACAACTTTCTGCCACTAAATACAAGTTAACTCACCTCGCCTATGACCCTCCCTCTCCCTTCAACGTACTTGCATGGAGCTGCCCTCGTCCATCGGAGATTGGTCCACCACCCAACCGAGCGATATTGCGGAAAATCTATCTCATGGATTCTCATGAAGGGGGGGGCTTATCCCTAGCCCCAGCTATCAGTGAAAACTCTCCTACAAAATTCAAATAATTCCCCTCTAATAATATCCTAACCAGTGTTTTATGCCTAGGGATGGGACCGACACCACAGGGATTAACAGTGGAAGAGGAAAGCTGATTCTTTCGGCCTACCCTTAGCTAGAGGCCACTTTTCTCCTTTTTTAGGGGGTAGGACTTTGCAGTGAGCCGTTTTGGGCTGAAAAGGTGAAGGAATTTGTACGACTAGTTACCCCACTTGACCTCCCTCATCTCTTCCCCGTTAGGTCTTACCACTTCAAAACAATACCTTGTTTAACTACGGTATTACGCCCCTCTCCCCCCTCCTCTCCCCGCTCATCGCTTTCAGCCCTTGTCTTTCTGAGGTTGTGTATGGTGTCAACTTGGCTTTTTTCTTATCTTCCCCTTCTCCTGCGGTTCCGGCCGATCATACAAGTCAACGCCTATACATAGTTGAATAATCAATCTTCTTTTCTCTAGGCCACACAAGCTTCCATTCACTGCGAGTGATGGATCATGATCCTTCTCTGGAGGGGAAAACTTGTCATCGGATATAAGACTAAGCCAGGGACCACCGGGGGTATGTATAGGAGGAGCCCAACCGCCGCACAGTTGCAGGATCCCCGAGATCTCAGAACATCAATCACCTGAAACGGGAGATCCTCTCACCAGCTGTTTGGAACTTCCAAACTTGGAAATAGCGTGAGATGAGGGAGGACTGTGAGAGGGGTAGAGGGGTTGAACCTACTTATACTGATAATGTTGCCGTGCTGTCCCATCTTAGGGCTCTCTAGCTCTGGCACTCTGTGCCCTCCAATCCGGCCTTGAGACTCGCTGTCAATCCGCTAAAACCAGCCCTTACCATTACAATATCTTGAAGAGTTTCGTCTTGAGGTAGAAAAAATGAGATACTAGCGTTTCTTCCGGGCGATTCTAGTTTACCGTTGTGATCGTATCCCCCGCGGCTTTTGTTATAGACTATTTAATTTTAAAATAGATAGGAGAACCAGGCTGGCAGCCAAAAGATTGGCAGATGAAATTGTGATAATCTTTTCTCTCTTTTTTTTTTTAAAAAAAAAACAGTTTTTGTGCCTTGTTGAACTAGGAGCTATGATAATTATCCTTTAGAAATCGAGTAAAGGTGGTGGTCACAGCGGGCAATTAGCATCCCTGGATAATCCCCCCAACCTGAAGATCAGTCGCTAGAGCCCTAGTGACGCGCTACCCTGAGAATCGGCAATAACAGATAATGCTCCTGGTGGGGTTATCTCCGGTCAGGGACTAGGCCATCAAACAAATCCCACCACTGTATTCCGGTAAAAATCAATGGCTCAGAGAGAGATATCACATTGAGCTCTCATTCTAGAGAGTATTGGTAATATAGATATGCAGAAAACTAGGCTCTAGAACCCACATCACCAAGTCCCCTACGGGGACAGAGCAGCAAGAACAAGTAGAATGCCCATTCCCAAGGGCTCGCAGTTAAGGGGCCTGTCGCGGCTGACCTTCACAAAAAGCTCGGGTGGATATATGATAGTTCGGTAGCCTATGGAAACCCTCGTTAGTTGGCAAACCTCCGGTTTTCCCTCTGGCTTCTTGGGATTTTTAACCGGAGGTCTCCCCCCTTCTGAGCATTCCGAGCCCAAGTATCAATCAAAATTCAAGAAAAACGGTGATGGTTAGGTGAGATATAAAGGAATCTTTAGCCACTCTAAAGCCCAGCTAGTAGGAAGAATTGCCATTCTGAGAATCACTGGTTCCTCTGGTCCTTCCCCTGGCCTTGGGAATCTGTTGCGAGCAAATCACATTGCACGTACTCTATCAGATGAACAAATCCTAAACCTTGCTAAAAGGGGGGCGTCTTGCATCAAAGGCATAACACGTGCAATGTCAAATTACCATGGGCGAGCAGAATTTGTTACTTACTGTTGCAGAGATCTCATCGAGAGAATAAATTCTATAGCGTCACTAATGGGATCAGAATTGCACTACATTTTCAGGTCATGGGGGTACGGAGGTCCTAGGTAGCGAGTGATATTATATGATTACTCTCCCAACCTCAGACAATTCAAGATTGCTGCGATTTATGGCTTGAGAACAAGGTAAGTTGAGGTTTGGATACCAAATTGGTCATATTTTATGACAAGGTAAAAGAGGATTGGCCTAATAAAACGCTCGATTACCTATCAGACATAGGGTATACGCTTTTGGTTTTGCTTACATCTGTTACTATAGGGCATCGGGAAGGGGGTATTTGTTTTTATTTCTTTCACACTCTAAGCTATTAGGTATAGGATAATTGGTTTGAGGTGTCACTGAGGATCGTGGGGTATCTAGGGAGTTCTGGGTTGTTGGGGTATCAGGGAAGGATCAAGGTGCGCTCGTTCTGCAGGATGAGGCTGCAATTTGTGTAATTTTCAGTGAAAGTTACCCAAATCAATTGTGAAAATTACACAATTCACGGCAATTATCGTGTCTCCGCTGAAGGGGCACCCCTTGCTAATAGAGTGTTTAGAACCCGGGTGTTGTGCTCCCCCAATGTTGCAGAGAACAGGAATTCCTGGATACGTAGTTTCTTGGAATTATTTTGTCAATTACGGAGGATTTTATTGCCGGAAGTGATATTTTGTCACGGAGGCATACCGGACAAGGCTCTGATAGGATTTCAGGAACAATTGATTACCAGGAATCCTGACCGGTTAAGGTTTTCTCGACCATCTTTTTGCTGCCACGCCCTCTCTCTTATCCATTTGGACACCATGCGAGCAGAAGTTACCAAGGGGAGGCTCAGGCACGGCGGAGCACCAAAACCCTCTGAAAAATAACATTCCCTTATTAGTTCAGAATTGAGTGTAGTTCTTAGCTTGGTTTCATATCAATCCTCGAGAGAACATCGGATAGCAAAGGTTAGTTATCCCCTCCCCTGGGCCAAGCGATTCCGGGCGGTCACTCTGGATTAAGAACGGCGTGAGCGTTCAACGGAGCATTCATGCTAGTATGGTGCGGGAACTAATACCAACCCCATGAGTCCCCCGCTTGTGTGGCAGGGAACCATGCTCTTACTAGGGTAACGATTAGTATAAAAATCTTCACCTTATCATCTGCAAAATCAGCTATCCGGGTGACTAGCAACATGATTCTCTTAATCATGACACAATACAAAAGCCCATCATCGCCAACATCCTTCATACCCATATCTCCCCGCATGTCACAAGAGTTTCAACCCGTACATCATCCCCTCAAATCAACAACCGCTAAAACCAAAATAGAAAACTAACATATGAAAATAGGCATTGAAAAAAAAAACGGATTTCTCCTTCTCCCAGTCCTTGGGCTCTTTAATCATAAAATTTCCACTACTCCCTACACGGCGTAGACAGAGCTTAGCTATTGGGTTACTTGCCGCTCTCCCACCTTCCTCAGCCCTTCCGTTTTTGGGGAGTGATGATTGATGTTGATGCTGATTTAATAGCAGAGCAGATTTTGACGATCAGACCCTCTGGCGCCCGGACAGTGTTCCCATCCGGTTGAGTGGCCATGGGATTGTGCCCACGGGGGGCCACGATTTGTACCACCTGATTCTCGAGATCAAACATTCTCCGCTTGGAAGAATTTAACCCACCCGCAGATGGAGCGAATATCTTTCTGCCGTACGCGGTAAATTTCTTCCCCACCTGATGTTGCCAGAAGATGATTATTATTGTCAGCAGTATTATTCCGGCACACGTTGGCCCTGTGATCGACCAGAAATCGCGTCGGGATATAGGACTCGTATTGAATTCCTTTATGTTGTTCATGCCGAAATACTAATAGGGCTTCCTGTCAGAGGATACTCATATCGTGGGTGGCAGGTAACATACCGAGGTACAAAAGCTTAGGGGAAGAAACGCTGTGGTCACGACAGTGAAGATAGATAGCGTCTGTGACTGACGCTCAAGTGTACCCTTCGTACTCATATCAACAAGCTATCGAGTCGTTAGTACTCGTTATATAATTTTAGATAAGCATTATACAATTTTTCTCTTGATATCCATATTTCCTACCAACCTACGGATGTGCGCGATCACTGATTTTCTCTCCCGAACTATCTTGTCGATGATGTCCAAGGTATCCGGCCGCTCGTCTTTGGTACATTCGGGAAGAGCAGGGATTAGGGCAGCATTCCCGTAGAGGGCGTTCTGTGGACGTGGGTGTCCCGTTTGGTGGGCTTTGTTTGACGTAGGGTACGTTGCGGAGAAAACCCTGCGAATATCTTGGAGAATCTCAATCTGTCTTTCAGCCACGCTGATAACAGCGAATAGACCTACTAAAAGTTTGTTAAAGGAGATGAGGTCCTGGCCTCTCCCCTGTTCCTTGCTAAACGATTTCTGCTGGGCTTTCTTATAACCCTCCTTCAGTCTCTGTTTCTCCTCCCGGGCGAGATCCGGCGGTAATTCCGGCCCTTGGGAGCCAACGTCGAGAGTTCTGTTCCTCTTTTGCTCACTCTCGTAGCATTTTTCATCTGCTATAATTTGGTCCTGATAGGCCTCAGAAATTAATACTAGATTTCACCGTCAAAGAGGAAAATAGACTGACAAGTTTCCACAACGAGGATTGAAGCTTCTCCATTACCCTTGATTCAGAATCGGTATGGTTGGAAATCATTTGAATCATTGCATGAAAGGCACAGATGCGCCCCTGAAAACGGTAAAGCGGTACTTCATCTTTGGCACTGTCCTCCTTGGATCTGAACGTCACCATTGTATCTTCGAAATTACTTAGTAAAGATCCTTGGGCCAAGATCAGGTAAAAAGGTATTTCTTACAGTTATCGATTATCATATATCTTGCTTGATGCACCACTATCTCCCTTATATCATCTCTCTCCCCCTCACTCCTCACATCTCCGCGGTCAAGAGGTCTAACTCCTAGGGTCTTGAAATCTAGGAGCCCCACACTCTCGCTTCTAAACCCCGGCCGAAACCCAATGGCGGAATTGCCTAAATACGGGAAAGATACGAAAAGGGTGAATCTATCTTCCGACGAAGGTGGCGTGCCCAAGCCCAATAGTCTCTCGAGAGGTACCGAGAATAAAATACCTGTTCTAAAATACCCATCACCAGGCAGCGCTAGAACACTTTCTTTGTGTGAGACCCAGAAATCAAGTTCGGCATCACTTAGAAGGCGAAGCCTATATGCCATCGAGTCTAGTAGAGCCACCTCCTACTTCAAGTAAGCAATTGTTTGGGAAGGTGAAAGCACTGTTGCACCACACAACAACTTACACTTGTATCATAACATTGGGGGAAGTCGCTTGAAAGAAAAACCCCCTCAAACATTAGCACGTAGAGGATAAATTCGACCCCATAGAATCGCCCAAGGTGTATCAAACACCTGATTGTTCCAGACCATATAGGTAATGAGAGAGTAGAGCATTGGGGGACAACTTACATGATACCTAAGTGCCGCCGAGATTTCACGACAGGATTAAATATATGGTCAAATTGGTCGCACTCCATGAACTGGTCCTTCGACACTTGAAAGAATTTATCATCCACTGAACTAAAGTCCCCTGAGGAAGGGCTGGCCTCCTCATCGCTATTACCTCTATCCTCTGGGCTCGGCGGATCTAGGGATAATGAATACTTAAAAAACACGACATCGAATAGTTCTCTTTGCTTTATCTTTTCCCTCGAAAGATTGCGGGCTGGGTAAAAGTAATCCTGTTCATTGTAGAAGCGCCGGTGCCCACCAATAGTTTCCCAATCATTATAGGGGCCCCTCTGGGTCGGTTTTTGCGGTTGGCCATCGAATCCCCGTGAGGGCTCGGGGATCGGACGTGTTAAAGTAGTGGAATTTGTAGCTAGGTTGGCCATCTTGGTTGAGTAGCGGCTAGGAGTTTGAGGGTGGAAAATATAAGTTGTTTCTGAGCTCTTTACCGGCAAAGCGTTAATAGTGGACCCCAGGGGTCCGTTCTTATGTGGGACGCTCAGCCAGGCCAAGACGCCTACATTCGAACTTCTTAGGTTGAAACACCCCACCGCCCCACTTCGCCAATCCCCGGCGGCAAAATAATAGTAGCACGAAACCAATTTAGAGTGGGGGGCAACCAACCATGAAAGTCAAATCTGCGCGTTGGCTTGATCTGCCGGAAGGTGCTCTCGAGCCAAGTCATGCCTCGCTGGAACCGCGCATGGTTGCCGCTCTATACCCGGACCACCTGGGTGGGTATGATACTACAGTGAAACCTCCGTTATCTCTAGGACGTGGGGAGACTGGATTCCCTGGAAGTAGAGGGGGGATGGAAAATAGAGGAAAGGCTTGGCAGAATAGAGGGGGGTGTTACGATATGGGCAGAGTTTCTTGTGAGATTGTCTATTTATCCCAGAGGAACAGAAAAGAAAGTAATGAGCAAAAGCCGAAGAGAAACTAACTACCAGTGACAAAGCATGGCAATGGCCATCACATCGTGATGTCACAACAGGGGGTGCTGAGAGAAAAATGAGTGATAGTTCATGAAAGTGTACAGGTTTTAACTCCATGTCTACATTCCGGAAAAATAATACACCCCTTCCATCTGATGACCCTTCATTCTAAAAACAGGCATATCCATTCAACTCACTATCTAGTTATCTGGCAATTTGTCCACAGCTTTGCCCAGGAGGTGACATGAAAAAGAATTTTATGCACATGAAACCTGAAATTTAGGAGCCATTTACCGCTTGGAAAGAGGAACTAATAGAACCCTAGAACTTAGAGGAGGAAAGCCTATAGAACAAAACCTGTCCTCGACAAATGATAGAAATACCGGAGGCCTGGAAACATCGGAGGGTGGAGTTATCGGAGGTTTCACTGTATTCGGTGGATGTGAACGACCGCGAGTAAGTTTAAAATACACCCTCTCCCTACTATGATAATAATATATCCCAACCCAGCAGCTAGCTGCTAGAAATTGCCCGCAGTACGAACTACCCCCCACGGGTTACCTCAACTCCAAGAAGCCCTTCAGAACCGCTGAAATTCAAGTTTTCAAGAAGAGTAGGCACTAATGCAACTAGTCTAGCGTTGTGATTTCTGCGGCCCAATTTTTCTTTCCACAAACTTTATCTAGTGATTGACATAATCCCTACTTCCCTACCATAATAGGATTTTACGGTTTTTTCATACCATCCCGAGTATAAAGGCACATCCGAGCATAAAGGCACATACGCGAGCACCTGGCCGGGTCTGAATATGAGTAGTCTATCCGTCCTGAGGGTAGGACTAAGGAACGCTATGAATTGCACTATTAGTACTCATACGGGTGCATCAAGTCCTGCCGAAAATTGTGGCGAGGGGTTTTTACGGAGGGATGGATCCCATACTGGCATAAGTTGGGATAATGTCATAGAATCTGGGGACCCGGTAGTGCCAGCCGGGAAACTTGTCGGGGAAGTCCTAGGAGCGAGCCATAACCAGGTAGAGCTACTAAGCCTAATCCACTATTATTTTTAAGGATAATTGCTTGTTTGCCAGTAACCCTGCCAAGGTTCCCACTCCTTCAAAGGACAACGCACCTCTTGTGACATGTCACATTTTTGGTTCAGACCAGTTGGAGCCCTTGAAGTTGTTAAAATTAGAACGACTCGCTTATCCTGTACGGTCGCAGATAGGAGTTGGTGTGACTCACACCTGCGACCATGCATGACACATAGATATTGCCTTGGTTGGGTGGCTGTGGACATGACTAGAACTTGGGTATAAAGGAATGGGAATGTCTCCTAAGTTGTCCAAGCTTCGCCCCCCATTCATACCCAGTCATTGAAATACAAACTTCACCAAAAACTCTGTTCTTGATCTTTGCCTCCAAAAAACCTTTGTTTTCTTCGCTTCAGTGGTGGTGAGATATCTGGGTTCGCCTAGTAATCCAACCTGATGTCGGAGGAAATGACTGATGCCTACCCAGTCCCACTCCCCTCTGCCTTCGCTAGGCCCCCTGGAAGGGCTGCCAGCTCCAGGTCCCTCAGGGCCTCTTCTCGGGCCTCTACCAGACCCTCTGCCCTCAGCTCGAGGGTTGCCTCCCCATCCCTCAGGTCCAGGGCAGGTTCTTCTGTCCTCCTCAATGTCACCCAACAGGAGGCCCTCAATCAGGTCTCCCTTCTCCCAGCTGCCTTTGCCCTTCCCTTCCTTATTGATGAAAACAATGCCTGAGACTTCTCCACTAGAGAATCCGTCATCATCTCCCTTCTTGCAAACATCGCAGCAGGCCTCAACTCGCTGGAACTACGTCTCGGTTGCCCACAGGAACAGGGCCCGGTAGTGTCAGCTCTGTACCTCACTGCCCTCCCAGGCTCTATCAACTCGCTTATGGCCAGAGTCTTATCCATAGAGCCCCCTCCCAAGCAAGGGCTGGCGAAGGTTCCAGCAAGGTCCTCTTTCACCAAAGCAGCAGCCTCCACCCCGACTAAGCCCCCTCCTCCCTCCAAAGGGGGAAAGAAAAAACCCACCTCGACTTCCCCAGCTAAAGTAGCAGAAGCTTTGGCAAAAGAACCCAGCTCCAAGAGACCTGCCATGCTGCTCTGAGCTCTTCATCGATTCTTTGCCCCTCAGATATAATGTGTTTATACTGGGGCGCTAGTCACGTCCTGGGGTACAATAGGAGCTAAATAATAATCTACTGGAGATTATCAATTTGTAGGCTCACTAAGGGAGGCTTCAGTGGTGTAATAGGATAATAAGGATAACCGTTCAACCGAGTATATTTGAATACTATCTCTTGAAGTCTGCCGTTTCCTGAATGGAAGACAGCGGTCTTTTTAAGTACATGTGTTTGAGTACGATTGTTAAGAATCCTACGAGGCGTGTAGGTGTGACAGGTAACGATTCTTACTTTGGGGTAAGGTAATAGTTCTTAGGCCTATGCCTACGCGATGTTGATAGTCAAGTCCTTTGACTTCTATCCTATTGCGCCTATTCCTCTATCTTTCTCAAGTCCTTACTTAGGACTTGATCGTTCGCCATGGGATGAGAGATAGTTTCTTCCCGTGGGAGGAAAGACAATTCTCGGGTTTCTTGAGATAAATCTTAAAGAGTGTGTAAAGGTGGGTTTTATTGATAAAATATAAGGGTAGGAATAAAACAAGAAGAACGTGTGAAGAGCTAAAACTCGGGGTTCTAGTGACCCTTTATATAGTAGCTCTTCACCTGGTGTGACTCATACTTCCGCGTCACAACAACCCTGTGACTCATAACTATGAGTCATGCGAACTCCCTCAGCCGACTCTTATAAGTTACTGCGCAACATACCTAAAACCAATCCAAACATACTAACTAAGTCAGGTGTGCAACTTGCATTACCTGAGTGAAACCCATGACTCATATTCTGAGCCATGTGTGAAATTGATAACATCGTGTGACTCACTAGTTTGAGTCATAAACAGGTAAACATAATAACCTATGACCAACTAATGTGTGTCGTATGAAATGCCAACATACCTATAGCTCAGAACTCCGAGCTATGTGAAATCTGCCTGGCTTAGTCACAGTTTGTGACAATGATCATGAATTCTCACTCATGTTCTTACTCAATCAAACTGTAAAAATGACCAAGTAGCAAGCGATACTTAAAACAAAACATAAAACAAACTAAGTATCAACCTATACTTAAAACAAAATATAAAACAAACTACATTAACCAAGCACCAGCTCCGGTTACATTTCCTAAAACAAAACAAAATACCCAAAACAAAACATAACATCCCCCTAACCAAACAAAGTAAGAAAAGAATTCTGAGTCTCGTTGACCTCGTCGTCACCCTTGAAACCCGACTGGCCTTGACAACAGTCAAAACATACTGGCCCTCGGATACAGCCTTCTCCCAGGTCCAGCCTGGCACAGCTTTGGCACATGTAAGAGGTGAAATACACAGGGGCGTATCTTAGGTGGTATGCCCTCCTAAGCGATTTCCACTATTTGTTCGTTATCCTGCAGTCCATTTGGTTGCACCTGCGACAACAGAATATGTAGATCTGTTTTCGCCTTTGCAGTCCGGCTATGTCACCATGGCATCTAAAGTTGAGGCGCCAGAGGTAGGAGTCTTTCGTGCTAAGTCTTGTAAAATCGAAATTATGCATGGTGTGGTGGGGTACGAGTGGATATATAGTAGGGCTGTGGTAGCAAAAGTGTGAAGGTATGCACTTAGGGTTATCTCTTGGGGTGTGGCGGAGGGTTATCGTGTTCTGCTGGCGTCTGGATACGAAGTGCACCTTTTTATGTGCTTTGGATCTTATTATTCAGGTGTGTAGGCCTTGTGGAGGGTGTGTGTGTGTGGGTCTTGCTTGTACTTTCTTGAGGGTGCATGGGTTTCGTGTAGGGGGGTGTGTGTGTGGGTGTGTGGGTCTGGCTTATATTTCTGAGGGTGTAGGTGGTTCTGAGTCTTGTCCTGTCTCGTCTCCTGGTGAGAATTCATTGTCGCTGTAAGGTGTCCAAAATCCTTTTGGTATCTATGGGGTGTAAGTCTAACTGTTTACCACCAGCACTGTCGGCACCCAACACATCATTACCTCATAGATTGTTGGTGGGTCTCCTTCCTTGTTACTGGCCCACCATTCGTGAATTAACTCAGTCACATTTCAGAGTCCTTTGCCTGGTTCTGTGACAAGGGCTCCCTCAGGAAGATGGATCCCAAGGATGCGACCGCACCAAAACTTCGAATCTCTCGAACACAGCTCTTGCAAAGTGTAAAGCATAAAAGTAAACGGTAAAACTTAATATCGTTAAGCTCAGGCTTATCTCAATTAAAGTCTCTCGAGAGGATGTTGATTCTGTCAGGGTAGGAGAGTTCTCGTATAATCTTTAAGTAGTCAGACTTATACCAAAAACTCTCCCATCAAGTTACCCCGACCAACATAAGTATGCCCTTCTTCGTAAGGGTTGCTCCGGTACCATT